CGTTACCATCATTCGTTTCATTATCTTTCTCATGTTGTATTCGTTGGCCTGGCGGTTATGCAGCAGCCGCATGTTCGATTCAAATGTTGCTTTTAGTCAAACTAAATGGCGAAATGAACCCGACGTGTATATGAAACGTGTGTATTTATACGTGGTGTGGGAAGTAGTGGGTGACGGTGGTTATATATATATATATAGGTGGTGCAGCGAGAGAGAGGTACGTACGTGTGATTTCGCAACGCCATCGATGCGACATGTGATTTTACTATAGACATCGTTGCTACAATGCGCCGCGCGCGGCGAAAGACACCGAGATTCTACCATAAATTGACATCCCGCCTCCACTCGTCGCTCTAACCCTACTCTATTATTATATGATCACGTACTCTCGGTGAATACTATGGGCCGTCGCGGGCGGGGGCGGGCTTGTTTCTTGGTGGCCATCGGCAAGTGGGCGGTGGCGGTAGTTCGCACCAGAGCGGGCTTTATTCTGCTAATTAGATCGGACTAATTGGCAGACCCCACGTGCAATCCGAGATGAGAGAAGAGGAAAGGGGAGGCTTGGGTGAGGGGGCCACACACTTGCGGAAGGAGCGAACGACCATTAACCACGCGGCGGCGCTGAGCTGGAACCGCGCGAAGGAAGACGTCTCGTGGTAGGAAGGCCTCAAGTAACCTGGAGGCGAGATCGGAGCGCGGCGGAACTCAAGAAAAAGGGTACATCTGGAGCGGAATGTGTACTTTAACGGAAGGCGACAACCGTAGCTGACATGGAGGCGTGACTTGTTATAAGTTGGTCGGTTCCAGAGTGATTAGTATTCGACTGTAAAGTTCATGGCTTTATTTCAAGCAGGGTTAGTCCCGAGTTTGCTATGACACTATGATTTCCCTCCGCTTTTTCATTTGGACATTAATATATCGGAGTCCTAGCCTGACATATCAATGTCCAAATATAAAAGCGGAGGAGTACTAGGGTCAGAGCGAATTCGGACTAAAGCAGGGTATGATTTACTCCACTCGCAATGGCCAGGCCATAGTCGGAGAGTAACATATTTGGTCCGACTTACGCAGTATAAGTGAGTGGGTTGAAACTATGTCAGTTTAGATCGAGGAACTGAGCCAGGTCTGTAGTCCAGACGCTCTGATAGACACAAATGCGCTGTCTATATACATACAGCTCCTACGCAGCCCCCAGACTCTGCCGGGGGCGCTATGAATTTGTTAGTTGGATAATGGCGCGTAAGCTTAGTACGGTCAGGCAGAGTGGTATACATCGAGATCAAGCATGGGTTGCAGTGACCGGCCACAAGTCACAATATCGTAAACAGGTCACAAACTCTGAGGTAGGCCCCTACTCTCCCCCGGCTGCGGCGAGTCGACTTGCGCGGACCAACAGGAATCCAATCCTTTATCAACTGATCAATGCAATTTACAAGTGATATATATATATATATATATATATATATATATATAGGTGGCAGGACTGTCGTGACGTGTTTGTTCCGTGCTAGGTGGTGTTTAAAAAAACAAAAACTCGTATTAGCATGCTGTGCAGGAACTCTAGCTAATGCTGTGTTGCGTTATAGCTAGTGATTTCTAGTATATCATTGATTAAAATAATTATCGTTAAATTAAGTGATTACACTTTTGGTTTTTGCGCGCGCGCGTGCATGTGTGCGTGTGTTGTACGTCGTGTGCGCGTGTAAAAAATTGGGTAATTGTCAATTTCCCAACATCAAGTATAATTAATTATAATCACGGTCTCACACGCATTGCGGGCTAGGGTTTTCATAAGTAACGTTTCGGTAAATGTTTTCCGTATATTGAACAATAACATTTTGTTACCCGCGACGCAATTCAACTGTAACCGATGTATCCTAATACCCGATGTATCGATAACCCGTAATGCATCCTAACGCGTGTATCAATAAACACATCGATAAGTAACCCCTTGCGTTTATTTAACACGTATGAGTCTAGCTGTGTACACATCTATAATACTGATGTCGAATAACGTAAATATAGTAATAACGTAATATATCAAAATAATACATGGTACATAAAATAACAAAAAATGCACACACCTAAAAGAACTTGATCTATCACCGCGTGTGTGTGCGCGTGGGCACTTGCGTGGACTTGACGGACGATAACAATATGTAGGGGGGCCTACGCGTTCCTCCTACCTCAGAGCTTATTCACCCGCGATGTGAAGAGACAAGCAGATCTGGCAGAGCGTCAAGAGAATCACAACCGTCCTCGTCAACGCGAGACTGTCACAAGACTAGTGTCGGTTGTCGCACACGCTGGCTGAACGTACGTCACCATGCGACGGCGTGTACTGCGCACGTAACTCTAGCTGATACAGCTACCTACTATATACTAGCAGACGAGATGCACACACACACACACACACACGCGCACACAGACGCAGCGGCCCGCAGTCGACCGTCCATGTCATTTTACGCGCGACTGACTATACCGTACCTACTCGCGCAGACGCGCGTCGGTGATTATTTAATTAATCCAGCGAGTGCTATTAAGTTGAAGCTACGACTCGCGTGCGCCGTGTGCGCAGGTTTACGTGATAGTAAAATTATTCTGCTATTTTTGTGTGACGATGCGTTTTCGGGAGGTTTTGTTGGTGTTAGCTGAAGCTACTGGGAAGTTAGATATTAAAGGCCGCCGTGTTAATTGTAGCTACGGTAGCTACGCTGGGAGTACCGTGGGGCCACGCGATTGAAATAGAATGAAGGGCGAGAGAATTAATGCAAATGGGGGCATACTACAGAAAGCGTCCGCAAACTTGGTACCTAGAATAGGCATTTCTGTGCATTTTTTTTGCGGTGAAATTCGGCTCTAGAGTGCACTATTTTGCGGTATGCACGCAAGATAGATGCCTCGGGGATGTCTAGAACGAATTAGAAGTAAAATTGGTCTTGTCGTGTAATTGTGCCATTCTAGCAATTGGCGTTGCCATGGTGACGGGTCGGTCATTTTTGTGTATGAAACGGGATCCGACCACTCTGTAGAAATTCGCATCATTTAGCTGGCAAGTGTCGAGCGGAGTATGGAGCTTGAACCTGTGGTTATTTAACACGAATAAAGTGTATGTTGTGTATGTGACGAAACAGTGCGAGTATTAATTTCTGTTCGATGCTTATTCAGGCCTGCTGCCTATGGACGCATTCTACTGTTGTACAACATCTAACCATTCACACACCGCTTCACACCGCTGTAAGGGGGACAGAATGAGAGAGAGAGAGAGAGAGAGAGAGAGAGAGAGAGAGAGAGAGAGAGAGAGAGAGAAAGAGAGCGAGAGACATACACACACGGAGAGAGTTTGTATATTTAGTGTAGTTATGTAGAGAGCTTGCGTAGTATACCGAACATCTTGCAAACTCTTGGGCGAACACGGATCTAGAAATTACCAAACCAAAAAAATTAATGCTCCATAGATGAAATTTAAACCCAGTTATGTCGATAACCGGCCTGATAACCCCGCAAAGAAAGATTACGGATGCACGCACTTACAGTGTTGCTAACGCAGTTTCGTGTGAAGTAAAGGAAGTTTCGCGTAAAGCATGACTTGCAATATTTGGCACAATAATAAAGCGGCAGCGCTCACGAACAGACGGCACATCGCGTTTCACGGTTTACGGCCATATTTGCCGATATAGGCAAGGTCAGGGACAACCCCGCCGCGAAAAATTGCGGATGTACATTCATGTAAAGTTACTAACGCCGCGAGTAAGTTTCGTGTAATTTAGTTATGACTTGCAATATGTGATGCGATGATGGACCGCCTCCCAGGGCCGTATAACTCGCCAGCCTGTTCTGCTAGCATCTATGACAAATACGACATAAGCATATACGCTCTCCTATGACACTATTTGTCATAGAAAAATTCTTCCTATGACAAATATTGTTGTATGTGTTGTGCGCGCATCATAGGAGTTTAGGAGCGCTATTATGAACGCAAGCAGTGAATTTCAGCTGTAAAGTTGACTCGCCAATATTTGTCATAGGAAGAATCTTGCTATGACAAATAGTGTCATAGGAGAGCGTATATGCGTATGTCGTATTTGTCATAGATGCTAGCAGAACATGTTGCACTCGCAGATGGAGGCAAGGGTGGTAGTTGCCCCACCGCAAGACAACCTGTGGTCAATACTATCAAGATTGAATAAAAAAAGAAAGGTTGGTTCTATTCACTCCCGATACTATCAAGAGCTAATAATACCTAAGTATTAAAGTAAATTAATAAAAAGATATTATTAGCTGTTGATACTATCACATGGCCAACGGCGAACTGCCCACAGTCACTTACCCAGAACACACACCGCACCTAGTTCTACTACCTACACCACCGACTTCAGGCAAAACGAGTTAGTTACGCCCCTGCCACCCATCACGCCGCACCTCGCATCTCTCACCTGGAGCCACAGATAGTGTATCGTCAGCGAGACGAAGAATCCAGTCTCGGCGACCAGCGACAGGGAGCAGTTCAGGTTGTTGCCGTACACGCCCGGATATCCGGGCGAGACGAGAAACGCGCGCGGAGCGGATGTTGTTCTTGCGCCTGCGCAGATGTCGATCGTCGGTGGAACCTCGGCCGACCCGTCGTCCGCCGCAATCTTCTCGGCCGTGACCTACGCGAAGTAAATCATCGATCAATTGATTGTATATATTGTTCGCATATGTTAATTATATTGATCATACCTACCGTATTACTCCGTTATTTTAAAGAACGGTTTCTACAGAAGAAGTATTATAATTACATCGCAAGCAAATAAATAAACTCACTCATAGAAAAACTCGGGCAATATCATAATTTCTGCTCACTAATACGGTCTCAACCTACCTGTCCTCCCGTTGCCCAGGAACACAAGATGGCGGCGCAAAGGCGCATCAATATGTTCAACGTCAGTTGCATCGTGTTTTATCAACGCGTGTACGCAGCGACAAGTCTTTAACCGAGTTTCCTAGGGTTTCTCTCGTTCCTGTATCAGAGGTGTGGCGTTTAGTCCCCGCTGCACGTATGACCTGTTTGTTGAAAAATCCCAGCGGCACTTTGGCGCAAGTTTTTGGAAATTTTGCTGTCTGCGGATAAATTCGACAGTCAGTCTCACTATCGTCGATAAACGCGTGGATGCTCTCCTCTCATTAGCGTGTGTGATTAATTACCCCAGTCGCAGCTGCTGTGCTCTGGCTCGATGAAGCCGATTTATTATGCCGTAGAAATTCAGATTCAGCTTGCACGTGTACATCGCATCGGTTGACGTCGCGATCGCAGGTTTTGTTTACGGCCACACAATTTTGTTTCGGATGGCTTCTTAATTGCATTGACGCTTTCGGATTCGGTGTGATACCGGATGGTGGAGACTCGATCCGGTTATAGTTCTGCCGCCGGTGGACACACGATCCGATTATAGTTTTGTGACGACACGATTCGGTTATAGTTCTGTCACCGGCAAACACACGATCCGTGTTTAATTCGGTTGCTACGCCTCGATCCGATTACGATTCGATCGTTACACCTCGATCCGGCAGCGGTCGGCGCACGGACGGGCGTCGGTCGTCAGACTTCGGTTAGAGCCGACAGCTCCTCGCGCTCGTGCAGCAGCGGACGCGTACGGTGGCTCCACCTGTGGGTGATCAGTCGAGTCTCATCCTCGTCGGCGCTGCTGTTCGGCTCGACTTGCGTCGCCTCGTCCTCGTTCTCTTCCTCGCGACGGTGGCGCCGCCTCGTGATCAGGTACACGTCGTCGTTGGCGCCACTGTACGACAGGTGGTATCTGTAACGGGAGGGGTATACGCCTTATATATATATAACCTAATATACGTGCATTAAACTTGATGATTTGGTAGTTTTGTTATTATAGACAGATGTGGCTCGAGAGAATATGTATTTAGAGTCGATTACGACGGCGGTTTTTCCATAGAGAGACAGTTCATGTGTTTATAGGGTGCATGGGTAGAAATGTTTAGGCGTGGTTTCATATTGTTACGTGTACCTACCGGGAGATAGATAATAGCACAACTGCTGTTAACTATCTCCGGTTATGTATCCCCAGATCGCTTTCAAATTTCTAAACCCGTCACCAGCCGACCAACTCTTACAGTAGCTCCTTCTAGGCCGTATATTTAATTCTATACCAGAATATAAGAATCTCGCAATCACTTACCAAGAAGCTAACTCTTGGAATCGTCTCTACATTGCAGCATTATATATATATATATATATAAAACGATATATAAATATATATAGACGAGAATCTACGGGTCTCACGCACGCGTAGCAATAACAGGTCAACATCGTCTGAATATGCAGTTCACACGCGCGCGTGAGCGTTGCGTTATATATAGCCTTCCGCAAAGGCTGAGTTCGACAAGGAAATGTAAAGTCATATTCTGTCCACACAACGTATCTGTATAACTATCAGTCGTTAAAGATGTCGTAGACCGGCTCTACTCGACGTTTGAGGCGACGTCGATCGATCCCTAGATCAAGTAATGAACCCGAATAAATAATAGAATAATAACGACGAGTCGTTCGCTCGGCTAGCAAAAGCCTTTAGGAATCGTCGAGAGTTAATATGGAGGGCTGCTGCGGTACCCTTACAGTATGTGCGGCGGCAGGTTTATGCATCTCGGAGCTGTTTCCATGGCAGACCGTCGTAGCATGACGCGCGTTACTATGCCTGCCGAAGGACTCGGTCATGAGAGCAATCGAACACAGTGGGGGAAGGTCAAGGACCGTGTATTACTGCCAAGGTTACGCGCGTAATAATGCAAATAGCCGAACCATTATGAGTTGCGAGTATGTGCGTATATATAAGCATCTCCGCGCATGCCCAACCCCGTATATATATATATATATATATATATATATATATACACATTACAGTTATTACTAACGTTGCCTGCACAGCATGGGTTTTTGTTCACGAGAGGAAGGGGGGCGGAGAAAGGCGTTAAGGAGGGAGCGAAAGAGCACGGATTAATCGCTGACGTGGCGCAGCGGCCTCGCCCATGGGCCACTGTCGCACAGCACCATGCAGTCACACGACCTCTAGGCCCCTACTCCTCTACTTCTCTATCTCTGTCTTACTTGCTTCGCCGCCGCGGCCGATGCTGCTGGCTGCTGGCACTGCTCGATACTGGTGCTGAATACTGTTTGCTGCTGCTCACTACTTACCGACTGCTAGCCGCTGCTGCCGCTTGCTTTACCGGCTGCTTGCCGCTGCTGGTGCTGCTCCGACTGCTGCTTACTACTACTCACTACTGCTAATACTGCTACTGCCTGCTGCTGCTGCATGTTGCTTGCTGCTGTTGTTCTGCTGCTTGTACTGCCTAACTGCTTACTCTTGCTAGCTGCTGCTTGCCTACTGCTACTGCTCACTACTACATCACTACTACTATTGCTGCTGTTGCTAGCTACCGGTGGAGGTGCTGGTGGTACACTTACCTTCTCTCCAGGAGGCGCTCCTGTCGCAGGGCGCGGAGGCAGACGCAGCCTAGGATAAAGAAGAGCAGGAAGAGCAGGAGAAAGACGCCCGCCGGCACGGCAGCTTTCAGCAGGGTCACGGGCGATCCATCAGGCTTGTCTGGAACAGGATGAATCTAAAAGAAAGACACGTCAATACATATACGCGCGCGTTCCTTACATTTACCCAACATTTACATTTACTTTAATATTGTAAACATGCTAAATCATTAGTATGTTTATTCATCTATATTCGTTCGACAATTAATTCATCTGTTCGTTCGTTCGTTCATTCATTTATTCATTCATTTATTTTTAAACAACAAAAGGGCGATAGAAGAGACATGTGGGTGCGAGAGTGGTGTTAGGGAAAGTTGATATTTAGTTTGGATACGTATAGTTGATAGCAGTTCTATAGCTACCATTCTCTCTCTCTCTCTCTCTGTCTTCTTCTCTCTTACTGCGCGTCTCTCTCTCACTTCCTCTCTCTCTCGCCCTCTCTCGTATCACAACGACACACACTTTCTCTCTCTCTCTCTCGCTCTCTCTCTCTCCCTCGCGCGCGTTCTTTCTCCCCTCTCTCTCTCTCGTTCGCTCGCGTTCTCTCTCTCTTGAACCCTTTGGAAAAATTGAGGCAACCAAATCGACGTAATGCATTTATCTACCTAATGATAATTATTTCGTCATAATATTATCAATGCGTTAATTAAGACAAATCTGATAAATAATAGTGATAATATGATAATAATGACAAATAAACACGAATCTGCGTCATCGTCTACTGCGCATGTACACGCATCAAGTGAGCTCATCGCGAGATGTTCACTGCCACGGGCGAGATGTGCAGACGATGAAGATAAACGCTACAATTAACGCAGCAACGCGCCGCGTCGAGAGCGAACAGAAACGCAGCAGCACATCTCGACACAGTTAAAGAATCGCCATGCGAGGAATGTCGGCTGACGGCTACTGTGCATGCGCGTGCGGCCTACGCGCTCGGCGCGCGCTGGCCCGAGGATCCGGATGCGTGGGCTGCCTGCTGCTGCTGCTGCTACGCATTTCAGGTGTTGATGCTGCCTGCTGGCTTGCTACGATCGGCTGCCTGCTGCTGCTGCTGCTGCTGCTACGATCAGGCTGCTGCTGCTGCTGCTGCTACGATCAGGCTGCTACGCCACCCCTGAGCGGTAGCGCAGGGGTCAGCGAGAGTATACGAGGGTATATGCAGCGCCCGCGAGGGCAGGGGGCTTCTCGTAGCAGGTTTCTTCCGTCTCTCTGGTCTCTCTCTCTTCTCGCTGACACATGGCAGTGCATGGGACGTGACCGGGGGGAGACGTATACGACACGCTGCGTAAGGTGTGCCGACAACGCGCACAGACAACGCACGTGAGAAGGAGAGAAGAGTGAAAGATGAGAGGGAGCAATTGAGGACGAGAGGAGAGGAGAGAGAAGAGAGAGAGAGAGAGAGAAGGGGGGGGGGGAGGATAGAGATTATAGGTGTAATATCATAATAATATAATAATAATATATATACATATATAGTAAAGGGACACTAGACAGATCGGCGGGGGGAGAGAAATAAAGAGGAGCAGGAGAGAGAGAGAAGAGAGCGCGCGCAGGAGCAGTAAGGAAAACAGAGCGCAATAGGACGGATGCGGACCGTTCCTAGAACGGTCCGCGTGCATCATATAGTGCCAGAAGACATGCGTATATAACCGTCTGCCAAACTCGCAGCGTCGGAACGTTTCTATATTATAAAGCAATACACGCCGCCGAGCAATGAAATCCTGATGCGCATATACGAGGTATCGTAACATCGTTTTACGGTCACGAAAATATCGGGCTACGAAGGCGAACGTATAGAATCATCGCGCAGTAACAAATATTTACGAGCATGTAGAATTATAAAGGAATAATTACGACGTATGACAAAGAACGATATATATAGATGTAGGAGTTGTGTACACTGTATATACGTACCATCATCGTTCATATTTTTCTCATGTTGTATTCGTTGCCTGGTCTATGCAGCCCGCAGTTCGATTCCAAATGGTTGCTTTTAGTCAAACCTAAATGGCGAAATGAACCCGACGTGTATATGAAACGTGTGTATTTATACGTGGTGTGGGAAGGTAGTGGGCGGGGTGACGGTGGTTATTATATATATATAGGATGGATGCAGCGAATTAGAGGACGTACGTTGTGTTTCGCAACGCTATCGATGCGACATGTGATTTACTATAGACATCGTTGCTACAATGCCGCAAAGACACCGAGATTTACATAAATGAAATCGATCGTCTCTAACCCTACTCTATTATTATATGATCACGTACTCTCGGTGAATTTACTAGGGCCGTTGTTTCGCTGGGGCTGACATCGCAAGTAGTTCGCACCAGAGCGGGCTTATCTGCTAAATATAGTATTCGACTATATTGCAGACCCCACTGGCAATCCGAATGAGAAGAAGGAAGCGGGGGCTGGGTGCGGTGGGCCAAAGCTGACGGAAGAAAGAGCGAACGACATAACAACGGCCCGCCGGGCGCTGAGCTGCGCAACCGCAGGAAGAGTCGACGGTGCGAGGCTCAAGGTAAAAGCATTGGAAGCAGCGAGACTCGGAGGCGGAACTCAAGAAACAGAGCTATCTGGAGGGAATGTAGCGGAAGGCCGACAACGACGACTGGAGGAGAGTATATAGGTGGTTCCAGAAATGGTAGTATTCGCTGTAAGTTCATGGCCTTTATTTAAACTTC